TTGATTAGTATTCTAATATTAGTAAAGCTTATATTATTATAATTGAATTGTACCTATATTTATTAGATTCGTCCCAGAATAATTTGAGACAAACCTCTACTACAACTGTTGGCAACAATGAAGTGGACGATTTACTACTTGTATTAGAGGAAACTAATAGTCCAAATATGTTTGAAGATAGTGAGCTCATCAACCAAACATCACTCAATGTAAGTATATAATATTAATTATTTTACTATCGGTAAAAATCAGATTAGTTAAATAAATTCTATTTGTTTTGTTATATTTGAAAGGTTGTCACTGTTGAGCAATTAGAGGTAACACCCAGTACCAGTAGCAAACCACCAAACTGGGAAAATTGGACTCAAGCTTCATTACGCCAGCCAGTTTCTGATGAATTAGTTACTGGGAAAAGAAAGCCAATGTCGGGGGGTGTAAATATGAACAAAAGACAGAGAAAATTACATAATGATGTTGATAGTAAAAAGAAAGATGTCTATGACAAGCAGTTACAATTAATCGAGGTGGAGAAAGAGAGAGGGTGTATACGCTTTGAGTGGGAAAAATTGGAACATGAACTAAAGGTTGAGGCATTAAGATTAGATATTGAAATTAAAAAAAAAAACTCTTTCAAATTTAAGTTAAGTTATAAGTTTTTAATCTTATGCATTTTTTTTAATAGGCACCTATACCATAATTTATATATTTTTCATATTCTTAAAAAATATTTCTATTTATAGATACTTTTTTCTTAGACTTTAGGCATCATGTTAGTATCAACTATTAATTATGTTACATTATGATAAACGTATACAGTGATAAGAAAGAACACGTTGATTGTGTGTCATTCTCTGATCATCTATACATTATAATCTAAAACAGAAAAAAGAATGATTTATGTTAACATAATCTTATTAAACGGTGTTCATATTAATTCATCAGTCTTTACCTAGCAAAGTAATTGTTAAGTAGTGAGTTTCTAGTGATTGAGTCTTCACCATTATCATCATGACGATGGTCTGTTTCAGCCATGTCTTCTGCTTCATTTAACTGGTGTAAGACATCATCAGAACTGTCTTCAGGTAAATCCTCATTCATATCTCTACATATATTGTGCAAAATTGCTGTTGCAACTATTATTACCTGCACAGTTTTTAGTTGTAATCGCATACCTGAAATTAAATATATTTTTAGACAACAATTAATTTTATTGCAAATATAACTACGAACCAAGTGATAACACTAGAAATCTTCTTTTCCAGACCCCAAAACACCTTTCTATTATATTTCTTGTTCTAATTTGGGACTCGTTATATAGCATCTCTATTCGTCCAACCGGGTTTAATATTGGTGTTAACATATACGGTTTTAGAGCATAACCACTGTCTCCTAAGATGGCATTGTTATTGAATTCACCCGATTCTAATCTTGCATACAGTCTAGAGTTTCTGAAAAAATTACTGTCATGTGCAGACCCAGGCCATCTAGCAACAATATCCATGAATTTCAAATCTGAATTTACAAGTGCTTGCACATTCATGGAAAAATATCTAAATATAGTAATTGGACATAATCGAAAAATAAATAGATTATAATACGGTCTTACGGCCTACGGTACTATGAACCGTAAGAAATCCACGTATTACGTTTCGTTTCACTACAGTAGATCCAATTTTCTACCAGAACCTCCAATGTCAAAGATTGAAGTAACAATTAATGAATTATAGGTACCCAAATAAAATGTAGGTACCTACCT